AGGGGCATTGGTGGCTATGTAAATGAAGTACAAATTAGGTATTCACTTAAAAATTAATAAAAAAAAATTGCATGTGGGCCTTGATATTTAACAATAACAATGTGAAAGGATCTTTTAAAAGTCCTTGGTATGTCTTTGAAAATATTTGCTCCATTAAAAGGTTGAGACTCTTGTCATTGCCTATTTTTTTTTTGGATTTAACCCTAATTTGGCCATTTTAGGAGTTCGAAGGCTTGGGTCTTTATACCTTTTCGTTGTTATTTTGAAGATTACACATTTTTTATCGTCCTCTGAGGTGATATATTTGGCCATTCTTCGAATTTGGAAAAATGGTATCCCAGCTACTTGCAAAATGCAACTGAAATAAAGAAAAGTCGTAGTTTTTATATTTTAAAAACATTTCTTTTAAGATTTTGATTATCTTACCAATGTTCTGCATCTTTTGGGAGTTATTTTCAGAAACATAAGATGCCAGCTCCTCTGATTTTATATTGCCATATTGTAGGGTATCAAATAGTTTTCATATCATAATTCAAATTAAACAAACTGAACAAACTGCTTTCAACGAAGGGAGCCGCAAGCAGTTATTAGGTGTGTCTGGTTACTTTTCCTGCAGGAATTGTCCAGCAACATCTTTCTGAGAGAGCAAGGTAGTTTTACTCTCTTTTGCAAGGAAATTACGAAAAGTAAACAGACGGTATTCCTGCAGAAGCTTCCAACTAATCAGCTGATTTGTCAAAACAAACCAATTTGTCCCCATTAAAAGAATTAAACGAAAGGGACCACCACCAATTTCACAAGTTTTATAAATAAAAAGGAAATTGACAATAAAATAGAAATATGACCAATATAAGGAAGATAGATTTAATGTGTTCCGCGGAATCATTTAAACCTGTTGCTAATGACATTTGTCTAAAAATGTTGGAAATAGTCTTTTATTTTCTTATTACATATTAAAATTTATTTTTTTCACATTTTGTAAAGTTGTTCTCCAAAACAGAGGGCGAAGCCGATGTGAAATTCTCGGCGGCGGCGGCTAAGCATAAAAAAGTCGGCGGCGGCTAAAAGTCGACTGCAGCCGAAAGAAAATCGGCGGCGGCGGCTAAAGCAATATACGGCCGGCGGCGGCTAAAAGTCGGCTACAGCCGACGACTTTAACGTGAACAAATAATTTCGGTTGTTTTAATAACTGTCAATTCATTTAATTTAAAATAAAAATGAAAATATAAGTTTATATGCACATTTGTTGCTTATAGCATATTAAAAATTATAATAAAAATACTTTAATTTGATAAAAATGGTTCGACGACTGCCTTGTTATCGTGAACAAACAATTGTTTCTTTACTGTTGCCGGATGCAGGCTGCTTCTCTTTGCATTTATACAATTCCCGGTATATGAAAATGCTTGCTCTGAAGATGCTGATGTGGCTGGAATTCCAAAGCACATATTTGCTACAGTAGCAACATTTGGAAAGATCTATAAAAAGTAAATGGTCAAAACGTAACCTGCTTAAAACAAGTTTAAGATGTGAATCTTTAACGTACTTGTTTGTTCTGTCGCCACCAATCTAGAGGCTCAACCGCCTCGACTTTCATTTCCAAATATTTTCTTATTTCTAACTCTACGTTATTTTGTACATTAGAAGGCGATGGTCCTATAAATTCCAACATTCTTTGACGACTAGCTGATATTTTCTGCAAGTAAAATATACGTCAGTTAAGTTTACCTTTACATTTATTGAAACATAATACCTGTTTTTTTGCATTTGGTTCAGTGCTCGTTGATGGCTCATTAAATAATGCGTCATCGATTTCCTTTAATTTTTCAATTTCTTCCATAATCAAGTTCTCCTTGGAAATTGGAGACAGAACATCATGCACAAGTTCCAAGGAGTTTGGCGATTGTTTGGGAATCTGTAGTATATATTTATCTAAAACAGGCCAGTTTTTTTGGCATGGGTCCATAAGCGCAGCTACAACATACATTCTATATACTTTGAATCGCTTCGTAAAGTTTTGCACAGCGAAATTGCATAAATTGATTGTTAGTTCAAAAGACGCTTTTTCTTCTTCTTTCTTCAATGAGGACATAATGGATTCCTGAAAATAAATACACGAAGATATCGTCGGATAATCTTGGCCTTGAAGGTGTTTTGTGGCGTCCTCAAAAATTTATAAAAACGTGCCAAATTCCGTTATAATTTGCTTTTCCATTGTCCCAATCACTAACAGTTCCTTTTTAGCTTTAACTAATGCTACATTTATAGTGGATATATTATTAGTATAGCTTTGAATCATTGCAAGCAGAGAGTTCCAACGTGTTGCAACGGAATTTTTCAAAGAGGTGTGGTGCTTGACGTTTAAAGTTGCTTCATATTGTTCAGTAAAATAGTCATCTCCATGTGGAAATTGTTCGCAACTATCCAAACTCTCCAAAATTATTTCAACCTCTGTAAATATTTTTACTATATCGTTTTGTTCCTCCATATTTTGAATATTTGATATTTCTTCATAGCTATACATTAAGCTGCCATACATTTTTTTTTTAATTTTGATATTATGTTATTAATATTTTCAAATGACTTGTTGTTTAGTATATCTTCCATCAAAAATCTGTGTAAAACATGAGCCATACAACCATATCTTGGTATATTTTTAATTTTTAAAGCTGAAACGATGTTGCTTCCACCATCAGTAACTGCACATATGTTTTTTCCAACAGATTAAATTCACATAAAGCTTCTTCAATTTTTTCTACAACTGCTAGTCCAGTGTGAGGTCGTGGAAAGATCTCTGTCTTGAGCGTTACAATTTGCATTTGAAAATTTTGGCAGAAATGCACTTTTATGTTTATGTAAGACAAGTGCTTATGTTTATCTGACCACATATCCAATACAAGTGTAACATTTTTGGGCGACTCTTTAAGGCTTGTTTTTACGTGGTCCAAATATATGTTATAAACATCGTTTAAAGCCGTCGTAGCTATTGTCCTATCTGTGGGGAATATAGCCTTTGGGTTTAAGAAAGATACCAATTTCTTAAATCCTGGCCTTTCAACAATTTTAAACGGTTGCAAATCCCAACAGCACGTTTCGGCGACCCGGCGAGCATTTTGTTGTTTGTTGTTACAACTTGTTGAGGATTTCAATGCATTTTTGTGTCATTGTTGAACTTTTCAGGTTATTTAAAGATTTCACGTCCAAGTTATGTACAGGTCGTAGATGGTTCATATAATTTGTGGTTGATGTTGATTTTCCAAAACTAAAATCATAAACAATTACACACATGCGAATGGAAAAAAGAAATTTTTACCTTTTTAAATTGGTCTTTTTATCCAAACACAATTTGCAAAATTTATATTTTTGAAGTATATGCCTCTTTTTAAAATAGAGATCACCATAATATTTCCAACATATTGATATACCACCTTCATTTACAACAACCTTTGCCAAATTTTTAAATTCATTTTTCTTTTTAAAAAGATCTTCATATTGAGATACATCTGCATATGGAGAAATATTGATTTCAGTATCAACAGATTCGTCTGAATCGGATTCTGATTTAGTCAAAACTGTTTGACCCTTTCGGTTAGCGGAAAAATAATTTTTAATATTCCTTTGGCACATTTTGCATTATATTCTTTGAACAAGCAAAAACACAACGAATCTTTGGCAAACAATATGGTTGCCACTCCATTAAAATTCGTAAGTTACAAAAGGTTGCCAAAGGTTTTGTGATAAAAAAAACAAATCTACAAAGACATAATACCCTTACCACTATGTGGTGTAGGGTATAATTAATATAAATAGCCTACACGTTTTTGCCTCTCGAAGACGAGTGCGCAATGTAAATTATCGTCCAATAATGAGCATTATAATATGTTAATTTATCGATAAGATTAAAAGACATATTTATACAAATTTGCTGTATAAATTTATATTTTTCAACTGCTTAGCCGACTCAGTCGGCTAAAAATTTGAGCCGATGAGAGCCGCATACATCAGCGGCGGCTCAGATCACTTAAAAAAAGTCGGCGGCGGCTGCACGCCGACTGCGAGCCGATCGGCTTCGTGCTCTGCTCCAAAAACAATTAGTCTTACTAATTCCAAAACAATATTTTCAAATTAAAATCACAAAAAGAAGTAAATAAACAATAGAAAACATCTGATTGAATGTCGATGAATGAGAAGAAGAAGAGTTGCAAGAGATTGCAAGAAGAAATTTGTCCAGCAAGAATTTGCAAACTCTCACTGAAAGAACTGTCAAAATTTCTCTCTCCAACCGCTCTCTTTTGCAGAACTTTCGGGTTAACAGACGACTTCCAGTAAAATTTTGTAACAATTGTTACAAATTTTAGGGTAACCAGACACACCTATTTTCAATTTTTCAAGAACCGGAAAAATTGCCAGTGATGAGAATCTCCAGTAATCTGTACAAATTGCCATTTCTTATAAAGGGAATTTTTCCTGCCTAATGAGAAATAATTCTTTAATTTGTCATACTTTAAATTTTGTTACGCATAATCGCAGCTATCCATCAAATACAACTGAAATAATATAAAGTTATTATAATATTAATATTACTATAATTAAAATTATTATAAATGTATCAATTAATTACTTTTCAAACTATTACATCAAATACAACTGAAATAATATAAAGTTATTATAATATTAATATTACTATAATTAAAATTATTATAAATGTATCAATTAATTACTTTTCAAACTATTACATCAAATACAACTGAAATAATATAAAGTTATTATAATATTAATATTACTATAATTAAAATTATTATAAATGTATCAATTAATTACTTTTCAAACTATTACATCGGTATAGAGATGCCAACTCTGAAAAGACGCAGTCACGCAATAACAAAAGTAAACAAACACAAACAACTGAGAGAGAGAGAGAGAGCGCGAATCTCTGAATGAAAACTTGCCGCTCTCTTCACCATATTTTTTGTTTACGTGGAATTTTGACATTTCTATCGTTCATTTCTTTGAGATTGTTTGATCAAGCTCCAATCGGAACGAGACCCATTGATTGCGCCGCCCGGAAATCAATCATCGCAGCAAAGGAGGCGAATGTGATACATTACCTATTATTTATAAATTAAATATTTGCCCGAAAGAAAAAGGCAGTGGCAACGGGCAGCATCCAAAAAGAAAATTGTAGCCCAAAGGGACCAGTGAAGTTTATACAGCTGTTTTTCCCTTGTCAATAAGAATTATTACACGACGGCGGCGACGGAGGCTACCATCCAAGTGCAACAATACAACAAAATGAATATACACAGTAAGTCATGAATGAGAATAGACACAACCACCACTTTGGAAATAACTAACAAACCAGGCAGCCAGACAAACAATTCAATGCCATTACCGCAAACTTTTCAAAAACTAATTGTCGTGTGGAGTTCTATTTGATGTGAAATTAATCATCATTCAACCATACATCTCTTGTTGTTTGTGCGGTGTTGTCATTGTTAGGGCCGGCTTTAATTGTCCACAAATGGGAATCTTTAACAATTGCATACCATTTCATTCTTCATTTCTAGTAAACGCCAATCACCTGAAGTACATCAGTTTGATAACATTAACCCTACAGAATGCAATCCTGGGTCTATCGATGCGCTATGCCAGAACGAGACCGGGCGATATATTCCTTAGTTCAACGGGTAAGTTAGCTGGAGGAAAAAATTATGTGTGGAAAAAGTAGTTATAATGTGTGCCGTAGACAAAGATATGTTTATTTTATTGCCCGCAGGTGAACAGGTTATAGATGGGGATAGCATTGTGTGTGATGTGATATTAAAGTGTTTTTTACGTCGCAAATGAAGTTATTTTGAGTTTGAGGTGTCGAAGAAGGTACATACATACATAGAAGTCAAGTGGTTAACTCAAAACGTGCCACAATTAAATGTATGATATTAGGCTGAGATGGGGATCTGTCGTTAAACCCAAGGTATAAAAGCAAATGTTGTGTTAATAATTTCATGTTTTATTAGAGTCGTTTTTTAATGGCTTTGACATCAGGGATCCATTTCCAAATGGTCTTTTGTGACACTCAGTGAGACTCTTCATATCCACCTGTCTCACTTTACAGGGACATACAAAACAACCAGCTTGACTAAGAAACCAGAACGCCTGGAAGAATATTATTTTAAGCCACCAAGTCCTTTGTATGGAGGCTAAGCCATAGTCGAACTCAGTCACTTCATAAAAATGTTACGAAAAAACCCGACCACAAAAACACAAAAATAAATTCAACTGATGCTGGCGTGGACACCTTGGCACTTTCAGTCAATCTAGTTACAAGTGAGAAAATTACCTCAACCTCGATAAAATTATCATTTAGTTCGGACAGTGAATCAGTCTATCTGCTGGATTGGAGACAAAAGCAATCCATTAAATTGTTGTACGATATGGGATCGCTAGGGCGAGTCAGGATACTATTCCTGAAGTCTTCTGGGAAACCCCCCTTAATCCACGGAAGCAAAAGATAAACGCATGCAGAACGCACCGGCCTCCGCCCAAGTTTGAAACGTAAACTACATGTGTGGACGCCAGTCGTACGTGGAATTCAGAAACAAGAAATCGAGCGTTCACATTCCACACCCTCCAGACGGCATAGAGATAATAACGTACGCAGATGATTGTACGCTCGTGGCGTCCGGACTCATCATAGATGACATATGCGATCGGTTAAACGCTCACAACGCTCTAACCACCTTTTTCACTGCGAGGAATATAAAGATATACGCCACTAAATCGACAACCACACTTTTCTCCACATGGTCTGCGGAGATGAGGCTATCTTTGAAATTGCAGGTCGATGGTGTTGTAATTCCGACCACCAACTACGCCAAGGTCTTTTGAGTCCCATTCGATAAGTTTAGAAGTTGGAACAGGTTCTCAAGTCTCAGGCTGGCAGCACTAGGGGAGTTGATAAGGAAACCTTGTTGAACTTTAAAAAGTTATAGGACCGACACGTAAGGAAAGACCTTCATGACGTAGAGAGAGAGGTACAGAGGTATAAGGGAGAGCCTCTAGATCAACAGGCCTATCAAGCGGGACTGAATAGTATTCACTCTTACGCGGTCTCAGAAGTCATAGAAGGGTATAGAGTGAATACTGTACTAGGAGACCATCCCCCTCTCATCGCAGCTGAAGAGCGAGAGCTGCCCGTTCTGCTGTCCAGCCAAACCTTCTCACCTAACTCCAGTCTCATTGAGGACCCAACCCCTACAGGTTGCATCCTTTTTGAGACTGGACTTAGTGGCAGAACCCGATTGAGAGGAGTCAGAACGAACACAGCAGTATTAGCTGCTACAACAACAACAACCTCTAAGCCGCCAGAACGAAGGTGCCTCCCTCCAAATCTAGGGAAGATATGACTACGGTTAGATCTACGCAACCGCAGATTCCCAATAATAAGAAGATAAATTGAAATCTTTCCCTATACCCTCAAAACTGACTCAGCCGAGCTCTTCAGCAGCTTCATCAACTCAAACTGTTACAACGGCGAAATGGGAGAATCCAAATTGGACAAAGAGGGCACAAGTGCGTTTTATCTGATGAGTTGCCAGACGTCTGCTGAATTGCCGTATTCTTTGAAGGCGACTAATTCCACCGCTCAGCCAGTGGCTGGAAAAGAAGGTAGTAAATTGAGGTGCTGCTAACTGGGGCGAATAAACGTAGAACGACGAGACGGGGCTCGTATTCTTGGCCTACTTTCGAGTTTTTCTACATTTTTAAGATAAGGTCGTTGTCTGTGTAGTGCCAGTACGTCCCTGCTAAAAATCGATTGTGTCATATATCGCATTCATTTTGGAAGTATCTCTCTTTAATAGTCTTCTAACTAATCATTTAGTCGACCCCACCATACTTGAGTTATTTCTTTGCGACTTTCTTACCACCTCTTTCTATATGGTCATACAATGTTTTGTGTATATCGATAAATGTGCAATATACCCAGACACACAAAAAACATTTCTTATCAATAAATTAACAACGATATTCGGGTTCCCGGTAAAATGCGATATGAATTTTTTTCTTTTAACCTTCACTCGGTAGAATGTCTCTTGTACCACTTGAATAATGGGAGTTTCTAAACAAATAGATAAGAATGATGATGTTAGTTCCCCTCACCGCACACACAAATCAATTAATAAAAATGTTTAAAAACTATAGGGTGTCCCAAAGGAAATGTAATTTAAAAAAAATCTACTACTTCCTCTGCTTTTGCAAAATCTACTAATTTTATTTTTATCACAACTCTTACTAATTTTTTATATTATGTTCTCTCCCACAGCTGTGCTAATGTCCGAATTTGTAAAGCTGATAACATGTTTGATTTTGGTCTTTAACGAGGAGGGTAAAGATTTCCAGAAATTCGTCAAGACCTTGCACAAAACCATCATTGCCAATCCAACAGATACGCTGAAAGTATGCGTTCCCTCGCTTGTATATATTGTACAAAACAATTTACTCTATGTTTCCGCCTCGCATTTGGATGCCGCCACCTACCAGGTGACATATCAATTGAAAATCCTCACCACAGCTATGTTTGCCGTAGTTATATTGCGTAAAAAACTCTTGAGCACCCAATGGGGAGCTTTGGTATTGCTGCTGGTTGGCGTAGTAATGGTACAGTTGGCCCAAACCGTAACAGATGCCTCGGCGGCCGCAGCTGCATCACAAACTACAAATGGCATTGAACAAAATCGTTTCTTGGGTTTAATGGCCGCCTTGGGTGCCTGTTTTCTTTCCGGGTTTGCTGGCATCTATTTTGAGAAGATTCTTAAGGGGGCTGACATCTCCGTGTGGATGCGTAATGTCCAGTTGTCGCTGTTGAGTTTGCCCTTCGGTGCCATAACCTGTTTCGTCAGTGATGCCTCGAAAATATTCGAACATGGTTTCTTCTTCGGTTATGATCTGTTTATTTGGTATTTGGTAATGCTGCAGGCCGGTGGTGGTCTCATTGTGGCCGTTGTTGTAAAATATGCCGATAACATACTCAAAGGATTTGCCACTTCTCTGGCCATCATCATTTCGTGTGTTGCCTCTATTTATATTTTCGATTTCAATTTAACATTTAAATTTGCCTTTGGTGCTGCTTTGGTAATAGTTTCGATATTTTTATATGGTTATGACCCCAATAAGAAGGCAACAAATTCAGTGGGTCCCATCAAAGTGGTGACAAGCAGTGGTGGACCCCTGCGTCCCGATGAAGAGAAGCTATTGCCTTAAATACTGCAGTCAGCCGGCTGGAGGAGAGTGATGCAATATGTAAATGTTTTTCTACATTTTGGACTCGGAACTTATGACTCGTTGCAGTATTTACAACCTACAACTATCACGATAGAGTTGTTTTCACCAAAACAACTACAAACTTACGATGGCCATGTAGGTGAAAATACACTTGACCGACCGATCTTTTTTTACAATAAGCAAAATAAGCAAAAATTAAGCATAATTTTACAAAGTAATGAAACGATATTGTATATATAAAGAAACACCGACGCGACCGCATTCTACAAAATATATATATTTTAATAATAGATGTTAATCAATGCGTTTTAATTGAATGTTGGTGTTGGTTCTACGTGTAGAAGACCCCTGAAAGATATTTTTCCCTGAATAAATTTTCTTTAAAAATCCAATCCATCCTTGAAAAAATATTCATTAAAAATCCAATCCATCCTTGAAAAAATATTCATTAAAAATCCAATCCATCCTTGAAAAAATATTCATTAAAAATCCAATCCATCCTTGAAAAAATATTCATTAAAAATCCAATCCATCCATGAAAAAATATTCATTAAAAATCCAATCCATCCTTGAAAAAATATTCATTAAAAATCCAATCCATCCTTGAAAAAATATTCATTAAAAATCCAATCCATCCTTGAAAAAATATTCATTAAAAATCCAATCCATCCATGAAAAAATATTCATTAAAAATCCAATCCATCCTTGAAAAAATATTCATTAAAAATCCAATCCATCCTTGAAAAAATATATTTAAAAATCCACGTTTATTGGTCCTTGAAAAAAATATTCTTTAAAAATCCACGTTTATTGGTACTTGAAAAAAATATTCTTTAAAAATCCACGTTTATTGGTCCTTGAAAAAATATTCTTTAAAAATCCACGTTTATTGGTCCTTGAAAAAATATTCTTTAAAAATCCACGTTTATTGGTCCTTGAAAAAATATTCTTTAAAATCCACGTTTATTGGTCCTTGAAAAAATATTCTTTAAAAATCCACGTTTATTGGTCCTTGAAAAAATATTCTTTAAAAATCCATGTTTATTGGTCCTTTAAAAATCCACTTTTATTGGTCCTTGAAAAATATCCTTTAAAAATCCACGTTTATTGGTCCTTGAAAAAATATATTTTAAAAAAATCCACGTTTATTGGTCCTTAAAAAATATTCTTAAAAAATCCACGTTTATTGGTCCTTAAAAAATATTCTTAAAAAATCCACGTTTATTGGTCCTTGAAAAAATATTCTTTAAAAATTCACGTTTATTGGTCCTTGAAAAAATATTCTTTAAAAATCCACGTTTATTGGTCCTTGAAAAAATATTCTTCAAAAATCCACGTTTATTGGTCCTTAAAAAATATTCTTTAAAAATCCACGTTTATTGGAGTTGAGGTCGTTGAAAAAGTGTTCTTTAAAAATCCATGACTATTGGTCTATTAGTCCTTGAAAAAATATCCACCTAAAGCTCTTTACTTTTTATTGAAAATCCCGTTTACTTTCTGTTTTATAAACATCTTAAAAACATTTTATTTCTTAAAGTTCCACAATTTACAGCATCTTAGGTCAAACTTTGGTCAATACGTTTTCATACTTGGCTTTCATTTAGAGCTGCCCTCTACAAAATGTCTTTGTAGAGCATCTAAGGCACGGAAACGATGTGAGATTTTATTCTTCTCCGCCTTTGGCATCTCTGCATAGGTTAAATTATAGCCATTGGGTTGGAAAATTGGATCCCAGCCGAAATCTCTGGGACCACGTGGTTCAACAATTGTGCCTTCCGTTACACCTTGAAATAGTATGGGTTCACTATCCTGACCTTCAGAAAATGCCAATGTACAAACGGCCTTTGCCAACTTATCTTCCCAACCGGTCAAGAGTTTGTGTAAACCTTCTGGTTCCAGTTTTTCCAAAAACCATTTTATGTATGGACCTGAGGGGATCAATTGAAAAAATCAACGGATATTTAATATGGATATTTATTTGACAAATTACCTGGTAAATTCTTCAGAGCATTGAAGCACAAACAGGTGTCTTCAACCAGTACGGGTCCATCAACTTGACGGGCGGCTTCTTTGCACTTTTTAATGGCAATCTCATCGATTTCTCCCTGCAGTTCGGGTAAATCGATTTTCTTGGATATCACTTGCCTGGGGAAGTTGGGACCCAGTATGGCCACCAATTCCTCCAGTTTCTTAGCATTGCCGGTAACAAACGTAATTGGTCGGGACATGTTGACAAGTGGGTGGCTGATGTCAACGTGCTCTCTTGTTGTGTGTTTACGAATGTAATGTGCAAAGAAATAGAATGCGGTAGCAATAGTTCAATTGAACTATTCACTAAAAAAGCAAAGAAACTAGTTCAACGATTAACGATGTTCCTTTGAGTGAATGAATTACTGAAATAGGAACAACAGTGGAGTACACAACGAAAAATAAATAAAATAAGTCTTTAAAAAATATGGTAAATGGCTAGAAATCTCACATTTAATATTGAGGACTCTGCATTGGAAATGTTACTAACAAACTGGATGTGTCGTTCTAGCAAGACGTACGAATTTCAGACCCAACAAAGTATATATATTCTTGATCAGCGTAAAATTCCGAGACGATTTTGCCCTGCCCGCTCGTCCATCTGTTGTAATCAAGCTACAGTCAAAACGTATGAAGATAGAAAGCTAAAATTTTGCACAAATCAGTCTTTTGACGTTACTTCGCGATAGTTGGTATTTTGATGATTTCAGCCATATTTTCCAACGGAATTGTCTCAAAATTCACACAATAATTACTTGTGAGACCCATAGGTCTATGATATCCTATTTCCCCATATAACGCTACCCCTCGAATATTCGGTGATGATTTCAGCCAAATATTTTAATGTAATTATCTTAAAATCCACTCAAGGAGTTCCTTCTGGGTACTTTTCCCCCTAGAAGAGGATTATCGAAATAGGTCAACGTTTTAGTATAGCGCCCATATAACGGTACCGCACGATATTCGGTATTTTCATGATTTTTGCGACATTATTTACTACAGCCTATGACACAAATTACTTATGCAGGACCATGTCTTCGCATAGCCCTCATATAACGGTTTTCATTAGAGCGCGATTTTCCGACGGATTAGTTTTGAAAATGTTCAAGTTTCTTCCTAATGGTGGTGGCATTAAAAATTCGGCCCTGCTGATCTTAATGTTTTCTTCCCTTGTTTTTAAAAATTATTAAATTTTGTAAAAAATATGATATTTTCTCAAGATTTTTCAAAATGACAATTTATGCCGAAGATACCCCAATTTATTCGAACAAGCAATTTATGGGAATATGACAATGGAATTCCAACGGGCTTATTAAATCCCCTATACTGTGAAAGTACAATTAAAACATATGTAATTTGTTGATATATGGGATTCGTTTAGCCCCTCAATTTACCAATTATCAAAAACGCGTAACGTTTCCATTATGCGTCTACATTTTTGTTTAATAACGTGTGTTGAGTGAAATTATCATTTTCTCTCAGCCTGATTTTCTCTCAAATTTTATCACTCACTCTCAATTGTCAGTTGAGATGCTTTTTAAATACCTACCTGAATGAGAGTACCCTAATGGAGAAGAAAGCAAGAAAAAGAAATTTAAAAACGTACACAAAAAGAACGTCATTCGAAAACAAGAAGACCAACGCAAAACAACATGTAAAGCGTATTTGTGTGTACAATCATCTACGCGAAAATAATAAAATAAATACACAAAGAAAGGCCAAAACAGAAATCATCAGCAGCAATACAACAACGCTTCAATACTGCAAAAACAATAGCAACAAACAAACTATTGAACAGAATAAAAGAGATTACAGCGTTACAGCAACAAAGAAGATAAGAGAAGTCCCAGCTTGGGAAAATGCAAAACCCGCAGAATTAGTATCAAAAGAACGAGGCATTGGTCATGACATGAAAACAACGTCGGATACGATAGGAGCCAGAGCCAGACCAATATAAACAAAATCCACAATAAAATATTCATTTCTTTTATCATTATCGACTTTCAACTTTTCCCAGAACTGAGCAATTCAGTATCCAGCGAATAGCATTGGCCTTTCAAACCACTAGAAGAGCAACAGTAGTTGCATTCGTTCAGTGGCCTGGAGTGTAGCCAGCCAGCAGCGAGAAGAATTTGCATCAATCTATTTAAAATAAAATGCCTGAAAGAGGAAGCTCTGGCAGCAATGCTGGTGTCAATAGCCAGGCAGCATCATATCCAACATGGGTAAGTTTGTAGCTTTTATACCCAAATAATATATGCAAATAATACAATTTTGTTTTCCAGATTGGTTTCATATTTGTTTTCAATTTAATTGTGGGCACTGGTGCCCTTACCCTGCCGGGAGTGTTCGCCAAAGCAGGATGGCTGCTATCATTGATTGTGATTCTGCTGCTGGCTGTTATCTCGTACATAACCGTGACATTTATCATTGAGGCAATGGCCTCAGCAAATGCTGTAAAAACGTGGCAAAACTTACAGGTTCTTAAACGTAGTTATGATGTAGGCATCCCCCACTTTTTATAGATTTATATATATATATACACTTATAACCCTGACCCTTAGTTCATAGGGTATACAGATTATTTAAGTAAAATGTATTGCATTTGTTTTTATTTTTTCATAAACCCCACAGTTTGATTCCCGTGAAGATGTACGCGGAAATTCGCTGGCAGTCGAAAGTGAAACCGATGTTGAAACAGATGATCCAACCGCTGCCCTATTGTCCCATCAACAACAGGTGGATGCATCGGCACGTCTGGAACGTATGCCCATATATGCACAACATTCCACATTGCAATATTACACACTGGATGAGAAATTCGAATTGGGTGAAATGGCAACGTTGTTCTTCAACGATGTTGGCCGTGTTCTATTCTATTTGTGCATTTCAATTTATTTGTATGGCGATTTGAGCATTTATTCAGCGGCAGTGGCCAAAAGTTTGCGTGATTTGTTTTGGTAAGTAAACAAAGATTGTTTGAAATTTTATCGGACTCATTTTACAACAAATAAAAGTGGGACGACCACTACTCATTTTTCACACATGCAAGGTAATCAATCACATCAACTGATGGGTATTTGCAAAACCTCTTCATAACTCTGCTAAGAGAAAGGAGGAAAATTATGAAAAACGCTTGCCCTACCTCAAAGGTTTCAGAGTGAAGAAAACTGTATCTTATTTTTAGACAGTGGCAAAATTACCTACTTTGATCGCTCGATTCGTTAAACCAGCTGTGTTATGAACTTGAAAACAATTCTATACGGATAATCTGCGTAAATCCCCGTAGTAATTTTGTTAACATCTGTCTTTTAACAGGCAACAGGTAGCAATTTTAAACAATTTTAGTTAATTTCATGCAAATTAAGTCGTAGAGCGATAAGTCTCAAACTAGCTGAGATTTATATTCATTTTAAACCAACTGCATGAATCTAAAAACTGTACGAGATTAAATAGGGATTTTGAATGCCTTGGTTTTTAAACAATATTTTTGAAGAACAAAGATACCTGTCATCATTAATTTCTTAAAGGAACATCTACCGGAACAAACTTTTTAAAATCTGAAAAGATCCATAATAATGAAACTGGAAAGGACATTTTGTAGGGGTTATTGAAAATTCAGTATACAGGGTGAGATGAAAAAACTACAACCAACTTCAGACTGCTGTCATTTCTAAGCCACTCGTCCGACAGCTGTTAAAATTGTTTCAGTGACAGCTCATAATATTGTTTACAAGCGTACAAAAGCATTTTGGTGAGAATTGTCCAGGAAAAAAGTTATTCGTGATGGAATTCAAGCGTGATAGTGTGATTTCTTCATATTTGACTGGAAAACCACAAGTTGCTATCGTTAGAGCACTCCAGCATTTACATAATCTACTGGTAGCGTAGCCCGACGTCAAGGAAGTGGACGGAAGAAAACAGCAACATCAACAGAAATGGTTCAAACAGTAAAGAAGCGAATTGATCGAAACCCGCGGCGCAGTGCCCGAAAAATGTCTAGTGAGCTGAACATATCTCAATATTCCATTCGCCAAATATTGAAAAATGAGCTCGGGGTAAAGCCATTAAAATTCCAAAAAGTGCAAGAACTTACACCGCTATAGAAAGAAAATTGATTCAAAAGAGCTAAATAGTTGCTTCTCTTGGCCGAAAGTGGCGAACTGCCGAATTTGGTTTTCTCCGATGAGAAAACATTCGTTGTCTAGCAGTTTGTTAAAAAACAAACAAATCAGCAATATTGGTCCACCCCATCAAGTACCTCCCCCCTCAAGGGTCAACATTTTAAATAATTATAACTCTTATAAAATGGGATGTTAGAGTCCGTTTGTCTTCAAATTACAAACATCACAATGTTTTTATTAATCCGAGGTCAGGTGCGAAGATGGCATATATCGGTCTACTCCTTCAGGTACCTCCCCCACAAAGGGTCAACATGTTGAATATTCATGAAGCTCATAATCGAACACTATATTTTTATTAACCCAACGTCTGGTGTGAAATTGGGATACATCGGTCCACTCCTTCTGGTACCTCCCCCAGAAATGGTCAACACTTTAAGTAACCATGAAGCTCATTAAAGGCAAAATTAACACCCGATTCCATTCAGACTTGACACATCTCAATATTTCCATCAACACGAGAACTGTTATAATCGGACGATTCCTTCTTGTACCTCCCCACATAGGGTTCAAGATTTTTGAAAAAAAAAAAAAAAACGATCAAAGAAATCGAAATAAGCATCCAACTCCCTTCAAATTTCACGCATCCAAATATTTTTGCTAACGTAAGATCTGTTGTGAAGATGATATATATCTGCCAACCCCTTCGGGTACCTCACATACAAATGGTCACAATTTTGAATACTTATATCTGTCATAACTTGCGAAACAAGCGACGACTTTTTGCACCTTGCTATATCTAAATATTTCTCTTTACCAGAAATCTGATATAAATATATAATTAATCGAAATTTATGATTTCGAATTAAATTGGATATAAAAGTTGGATTTTCTTCAAATTTACCCATACCAATATTTATTATCTGTATTAGATGAAGCATGAAAAGTGAATGCTTCGGTCTGCTATATCTGTTACCTCATGTATATTTCCATATTTTTCAAAAAATTGCACATATCTCATATAAAATATAGGAAAGTAGGCGATATAGTTCAAATCTGAAACGTTGCAATATTTATTTCAGTCCTAGGTCCGATACGAATTGGCCAATATTCGTCAACTGCTTCGGAACCTACTCCATGGAGGGTCAACAACTTGAATAGTCATAACTCAAGGCTAGGGGTATACATCTGTCGACAAAACCGACTGATACTATTTTACTTGTAAAGCTTAAATTCTATGTTGATTTACCGATGTCCGTCCGTCTGTTTTTGGAAATCACTGTAGCTTCAGAACAAAGTGAAGAAGGTTAATAAAATTTAACTCAGATGTGTTTTAGGTCTACAGGACTTTTGGTATTGAAAATTGGCTATATAGGTCCACGTTTTGGTATAACCCCTATATAACTGTACCGATAGATTTACGGGTTTTTGGGTGTTTTAGTCACAATTCCAAACCGGTGTTTTGTCTATTACAAAGAAAATATATTTATTCCAAATGAGTTTTTCTCTTCCTTGAAAACGTACATTTTTAAATTCCACATTAAAATTTAATCTTTTGTTTTTTTTTTCTATTTTTGTAGTGATCATCCCAATGCCACCACTCCCTCCAACTACACCAGTCTCGATTTTGAGCTTGAATCATCATGGAATTTATCAGCAGCCAATAATGAAACCGACGAAGATGCCATTAAGCTATGCTGGCAAAATAACACATTGTCACGCTTAACGGTTTATCGTTTGTTTCTGGTGGGTTTCATTTGCCTCTTTGGACCATTCGCGGCGTTTAGTGTACAAAAGACAAAATATTTGCAAATCATTACTGTAATTTTTCGATGGTGCGGTGAGTAGACTGGTCGTAGAGTCATACAGAAAGCATAGAAAAATATTGATTGTTTCCATTTTTTAATTCGTTTTAGCTTTCCTTCTCATGATCTCGCTTGCATTGAAACTGCTCATTACGGACGGTGCTAAAGGTCATCCCGTGTCCATGAATATCTATGGCATACCTGCTCTGTTTGGTGCTTGTGTCTACTCGTTTATGTGTCATCATTCGTTGCCCAGTCTTTTGGCACCCATACGTGATAAGATGGCCGTGGGTCGTATTCTGTGTGCCGACTATTTGGTTATATGCTTATTCTACTTGCTTTTGGCTATGACGGGAATATTTGCATTTGATCGTTTGGAAGATTTATACACATTGAATTTTATACCCGATCAAACGGATGACCATAGCTTTGCTGCGGAGCTGTTGGTGGGAATTGATTACTTTTTGGCCTTGTTTCCGGTCTTTACATTATCGGCCAGTTTCCCCATCATTGCCATAACGTTAAGGAATAATTTATTAACTCTATGTTTGGATACAAGCCGCATTGAATCGTATAATTATTTTGTGCGACGCATTTTGTTTCCCATGCTGACGGTGATACCACCCTTTGCCATAACATATTTTACGGAGAGTCTTACCAGTTTGGTGGCATTTACTGGAAGTTATGCTGGTGCTGCCATCCAATATATAATACCAATTGCTTTGGTATACTATGCCCGCAATACATGCCGTGAATTGTTGGGCAGTGGTGTGGTAAATGATTTCCATAGTCCATTCCGTAGTCCATATTGGTTGGTGTTTGTTCTGCTCTGGTCCCTGGGCTGTATTAGTCTGGTGACATTGAATTTCTTTTTGGATGTTTCGTCGGCATGAAGTATCCCCCAAGCAATACAGAGTAGAAACTTTTTATGAAAGAAATGTTGTGGGTTTTAGATGGAAGATCCAATAACCGATTTTTATATTTTGAGAACTGTATATCCAAGATTTCTTTCAATGTATGACTTTCCCACGATAAGGCATTTCTTTAGCTAAAAACGAAATCGAATTATAGTTGCCAACAATAGCTTATAACCAAATTTGTTATAAACAAATTTTGTTATACGGCCAATAAAAAATGCCCAAATACGAAAATAATTTTGGCAAAATTTTCCCAATAAAATTTTTATTCGCAATTCTGGTACAAAAAATGTCTTAAAAGGAAAATTTCCTTCATGGAGTTAAAGGTGAAGAGTGTTTTGAAATAATCTCATTATTATTCTCCCTTCATTTCTTCATTAACTCAAAAAAAAATATAAAAATTTTTGAGTCCTAGAAATTCTATTTTCTTCTCAGACTCTTCAATTTCAAAAAATCGTTCATTAAAAGCTGTATTGCCATGTAAACGTCCTAGGTATTTTCCAAAAAAAAAAAAAAGAACAAAAAAGAGGTAGGGTGAACAACAACCCAATTCTCGATCTCTCAAATGAAAATATTCCAATACTCATTTTCATAGAATGAGATATTTGAGATAATCCTTCATTCTCATATCACAAACTTAAAAAAAAAAAAACTTTAAAAACCAAGTCCTAAATATCCTAATATGGACTACATTTTACATAAGACTTCAGCTCTCTCCCACTCTCAAAAAAAGGGAAACTAAAAGTTTTCTTTTACCAAAAACAAAAAAAAACGTCTTCCGTTTTATGGCATCTCCGTCGAAAGCTATAAAGCAATCGATTGGTAAGCCAGAAAAACGTTTACACAAGTCCATGTGCTCAATCTGAAAAGAAACTGAAATTTTATTATATATATACACACACACAAATTATACCCTCCAATGATCTGAAAACTATTAACCAATAACTTCCTAGAAAGTACATTTTACCACAAAAAAAAAAAATGAAAAGGTAAAAAATGTTGAAAAAATCTACTTTTTATTTTTGTAAATTAGCATTTAAGTGAGATTTGCAATAGTTTTTATGTATCATAACCTATTAGTATTTAAGCATATTAGTGTTTTACATATACATCTATAGATTATATACACATATGTACATAACTCGGAACTGAATTAGTTATGTGGGTCAAGTCCATGAGAACCAATGTTATAATTATAAAATATTTTTTTTCATATATTTTTTTTTTTAATTTCATCATGGAACCTAAGAAGCAGAAAAGTATATTTTAAAAAAAGCGAGTTGAATATATTAAAACTTTAAATATATATTTTAAATATAAAATAAAGAAAACAACTTATTTTTTTATAAGGGAACTGTAAAGTCACATAACTTGTAAATGTTAAACCATTGCCATAAATCAAAACGTTTATTAGTATGTAAACCAGAATACTGTTCAACTTCTATTTGAAGTACCTGTTACTGACTCAATTCTTGGCATAGAAATTTGAATTTGTCATCAACTTTTACTCAAGCATTAATTGTGCCGCTGTTAAGTCATCTGTGTTTGATGGTCCACACAAAGAGCATAGCTGTTTTGCACTCATGTGTTAATGGCATTTTTGGTCAAGTGTTAATTTATAGGTGTTAAGTTGGAACAATCAAAAAGACTATTGCCAAAAGCTACTTTTACTCTATGGCATGCCGCTGTTATATGTACATACAGGGTGAGATGAAAAAACTGCAACAAAGTCATACGCCATGATTTTTAATTTTTTTTTTTTAAATTTTATTGAATGAAACCAAAAAAATGTCGGAAATAGCATCAAATTTTAGAATAAGTTTAGAATTGTTCGAATTGGTCACCTTTGGAACGAATTATGGCCTTCAAACGGCCATTGAACCCGTCACACGCTGCCCGAATGTTGTTCTGCGGTATTTTGGACCAATGGCTTTTGGAATTTCAATGGCTTTACCCCGAGCTCATTTTTCAATATTTACCGAATGGAATATTGCGATATGTTCAGCTCACGAGCCATTTTCGGCCACTGTGACGTGACCATTTCTGCTGCTGTTGCGGTTTTTTGCCGTCCACTTCCTTGACGTCGGGCTTTTTTTGTTTATAAACATTTTGAAGGAGTGTAGTATCCGAAAATTGATTTAAAATGCCAAAGTTTTTATGAAAATGACGAGACTGGTACGCCACAGGACTGGTGATAGTTGGGGACACGTTCCTTTTTAGTACTTTTCTTCCAAAATCGTCGACACGTAGGAGACCACGCCAAAAATAAATGTTAACAGTCGGTTAAATTTGGAAGGAAGTCTAACGATCGGTTTGTCTGTTCTAAGACGATGAGAAATAAGTTCCTAATCAAGATGAATATGACGAATCTCTGCATGTTAGATTCGGATAACAAAAGAGATCTCCGAGATCTCATTACTCTCCCCTACCGTAGGTCTTCCTCGAGAAGACCTGCCCAACTTCGAAGAATTCAAATGAGCGATTGTTCTTCGTATGAGCCAATAAAATCTAGACATGCGATTTTGACACCTCAATGGTATTACTTAAAACGGGAAAACGGATTGACCCAAACGAAAAGAAAGCAATTAATGCAAAAAATGGGGTCAAAGTCCTTTGACGGGGTAGTATGCAGATTTGATAGTAATCAAGAACATTTGATTATGAAAGAGATCATTTGATTTTGGCACACTTTCCTTTCTGTCATTTGGCATCGAGATGAGCATGCTAGAACTTTAAAACATTTTATTAAATAAAAATAATTCAAAATTTCAATTTTTCTAAAAAAGTTTTAAATTATTAAAAAAAATTAATTTTTTTAAAAAAAAATCTGTAAATTTATTATTTTTTTTTTAGAAAAATCTCGATTTTTTTAATAATTTAAAAAAATATATAATTATTTTTTAATGCATTTTTTTTATAATTGATTTATCATGTTTTAATAACAACCTAAATGAGGTCATAATCCTTCAAAAAATCCTTAAACGTAAGACGAAGAAATCTGACTCAAATTCAGTCTCGTTCTCCGAACCTGATGAACCGCAGGAGGCTTGAATATATTCACCATGCACGGAAAGGTAGAAAATCCTAATCAAAATGAGTTTATCTGATGATTAATAAGAAACAGCCACAGCTTCTAGTAAGGATCTCTCTATTCCTATACTATTACCCTTTTATAGGTCTATATCGAGAAGGAGACCTGCCAATCTGAGGCTACTTTACGATTGTGGTATCATTCTCAATATTGGATCGGGTGTCGAGATGTCCTTAATGGAAACCCGAACTATGGGGACATGAAGGAAAAATATAAAAAGTTACAGCCCCTCAAAAACTACGGTACACACAAGGCGAAGATAACTTGAAGATAGTCACAGATTCCATATAAATAAGCTGAATCTACTGAACTATGGCACTCTCCCGAAACTTTGGTACAATCTTTGATTGAAATGTATATATCTCTTTCATGGACCGAACAAGTGCAGAAAATCTGTCGGAGATACACCAAGCAGAACGAGCTGCTACAATAAAGGGTACACCAAGCAGAACGAGCTGCTACAATAAAGGATGGAAATAATGCGATCTTTCGAACTTGAATGAGGTTGTTAACGTTTATTTGCGACTGGAGAGTTTTAAACTAGTGATATTTTTCGATTGCCGAAAAATATTCTCAGTTAATCTCAATTTAGGGGATTTTTTCAACTGTCCAATGTTGAGTTCGACTGGATATTTGTCTTAAGAATTCGAGATGAGGATCAAATCTTATGAACCTACATTCCGTCTTTCACAACAGCAACGTAAAATAAAAAATGACGAAAGTGATATCATCTAGGTCAGTAAGGAAAAGCCCTAATAGAGACGTTCTCTTGAACTGCACAAAAGTCAGGGGAGGCATTTCCATGCATTTTAAGAGCCCAGTCATCAAAAGAAAAGAAAAAAATGTAGGCGATTGACCGGCTTGAGATCTTGTATAAACTAATCTTTATACAGTTTAATGACATTTGCCCATTATCTCCCCCCATTTTTTCCTTATAAAAGACCAAGACCGTGAGACCTTCTTCCATAAAGATCACGATGACTTCCTTAACAGAAAATTTTGCGATCATTTTAGATTGAAGGTATGAGACTTTTGTTCTTATTCGTTTTTTTACTGGGAAGTGTAAAATTAAATAAACCAAATGAAAAATAAAATGTTTTCTGTAACCTAAAAAAATTCAAAAGTTCGAGACATTGGCCAGACATATGACATATTGATTTAATATGACACCACTGACTAGTAAGGTGGTAACTAATATGAGTAAAGAAGTCAAAATACAAAATACTTTATCAACATATAATTAATAGCAACATTATCTATTAATTTCTTGATAAAGTTTGTTAGGTCATAAATTTGGTGATTTTTTCTATATACATGGACATAAACCCCAAATTAAATGTATTGAGTTTAAAATAGACCAATGGTAATGAAACAAATAATATTGGTAGGAGGTGCAGCGTAAGATTAATTTTTTTAGATTCAATAACATGTCACAACGTATGACAAATCTTCTAAAACGGCTCAAAATGGAGCCTTTTTTACTACATTAACTTTAAATTTGTTCCAAGATAAAAAGTTACTTATTAACAGAATTTTTCATGTTACTTTAAAATCCAACTGAAATAAATTTTATTAATTTTTATTTTTTATACAAAAAATATGTCATTTTCATTTACCCACATTACGATTATCGTAATTGTATTAAAAATAAATATACATTACTATTTCTTATCTCCCATCGAGTTTAATCAACTTTCTTGCTCTTTGTCTTTTTAGCGGCAGCTTTACCGGCAGCCTTCTTGGCTCCTCCAGCACTCTTTGTACCGCTCTTATTCCAGTAGTATAACATTTGAGCCACAATAACACCGTTGGCGAATGATGAAGCACAGAATGTCATGATCATCATGTTATCACCAGTCTCCTGGATTGAGGTAAAGATGCGTGCCAATGAGCCGGCAAACAATAGGAATGCAGTGGCGGCGGACAATTGGCCGGTGGAACCATTTTTGTAATTTGTCACAGCCTGTGACAATTTGCCGGTCAATAAAATCGGAATATTCAAGCTTTGAATGGTGACCAAAATTTTGAAGGGCAGTAGTCCAGAGCATAGCACATATACCAGCAAACCATAGATGACGCAGAATATCAATGACTTGGCCTTTGCTCCGCCATAGAACAGAACCATAGCAGCAATGGCAGCCGTTTGGAATGCCAAGAAGGTATTGTCACCCCAGGCACTGAAGGGGAATCCGCTTACATAACTATAGGACATATGTACCGTAATGGCGGTCAAATCCAGAAGGACGGAGAACAAATTAATGCCTTCGCCAGATTTGTTGTTGAAAATCTTCAAGACTTGAGGTACCTTGACGAGCAGAGAGCCGGCAATGATGGCCAAACCAAGGCCTTTGCTCAGCAATGCTTTGAAACATGCAACTGTAGGTGGAATAAGGGTAAAATAAATTAGTTTTGTTTCATTTAATTGCTAACCTATTTGCTTACCATCAAAATAGTTATGCTCCTCAAAATAGTTATCGAAGCATTCCTCAGACATGAGGAACAAGGCACCTTTCTTTAGTACTTCCATATTAGAGGGTTCGCCTTTGGCTTAGATAATTGTTCCAATTTTATTTGAGGGAAAAAATGTCGTGTACTTTTTTCTTCACGCCGGCTTTTGATTGACACGTCTTCTGGCTCACCAAGCAACGCACTCACAAACAGCAACCACCACCACCAACAGCAACAATGAACAAATCAGCTGTTTCTTATCTGTCAATTGACCACCAGAGATATGAGATTTTTTTTATGCTGGTTTGTATGAAATTGGCTCTAATTGAACTTTACACGTTTAGAATTTGTTATCTTTAATTGAAGAATTTGATTTTTCTATTCGTACAAAGCACCCACATAAACAGACTACAACAAAAAAGACGGCAAATCGATAAATAAAAGAATTTTAACAACTGGGATAACAGACTAGCTGCAACGTTAAACAGCAGTGGTTTTATGTTACAGGGTGATTCGTATAAAAAGACAGGGCGCCTCTGATATTGTTGAAATGGGTGTTACTGTTTAAAATTTAAATACAAAAATAAAATTTTTGCAGTTTATACAATAAAATTTCGTCACGATGGAGTATTCTGCTTATAGGTAAACAAACACCAGCGGAATTTATAGCCTCCTATGGATGTATCTGAGGTTAACTCTTTATATATTTATTAAAAACAGCGGGATAACCTTCAATTTTGTAAATGTGCTTGTATGCATGGTACAATGAATTCAAGGTAGGGCAGAACTACCATATGATTTAATTTTTTTTATTTTCTTGGCTTAATATGTCATCTTTATTTGTTTATGTATGTGTTTTCTTTTCAATGACAAAAAATTGTTCAGAAAATATCCAAATTCGGGTGTTTTCAAAATGTTTATTTGAACGTATGCATCTACAAAATCTAGAGTTTTTGTAGCGAAATAATCCTCTAGAGATATAGTACATGATTTTGAAAAGAAGTTTTGACCTTTCATTCAGTTATCGCGTTTTTCAATCATTTATTCAAAATAATCGCAACAAGTTGTTTGATTTTTTATTGTTTTGATACTAATTCTGACATTACAAGCCAAACAGGTAGACCTCTATACTTGCAATTTTTTCAAAGTTGACCTACCTTCTCTTCATTGTACCATGCTTGTATGCATATGCATTATTTTGAATAAATGATTGAAAAACGCGATAACTGAATGAAAGGTCAAAACTTCTTTTCAAAATCATGTACTATATATCTCTAGAGGATTATTTCGCTACAAAAACTCTAGATTTTGTAGATGCATACGTTCAAATAAACATTTTGAAAACACCCGAATTTGAATATTTTCTGAACAATTTTTTGTCATTGAAAAGAAAACACATACATAAACAAATAAAGATGACATATTAAGCCAAGAAAATAAAAAAATTAAATCATATGGTAGTTCTGCCCTACCTTGAATTCATTGTACCATGCTTGTATGTTAGTTTTGAATGCCATTTTGCTAATGAATTTAACAAGTCTCTCTTTTAAATTGTTTTATCATCAATAAAGTTCTGGAACTAAACAATAATTTCGACAAAAATTGATTATTAATTGTTGCTTGAATTCTGTGGTCTATTGCTTACAACAACACAATATTCTACGAAGATAGAAAAATCTATTTGAACATACATTGGTATAAAAACATCCTTTATTACAAAACCTCAACACTATTTACTTCAGGGCACCACATCCGTGATTTGTTATTTCCCCTCCCCCCGATGAAAGGGCAGAGGTCAAGCAACATCAGCAGCAGTCATAAGGAAGCACTTGTCTTATCTAAAACTTAATTGAGTCTCAATTTGGTTTCTGCCCCAAAAGGGATGGAGTTGTCATTGTAATAATGTGTGAAATTGAAAGGGTGTGCAGAAGGGAATGAGGTATTTTTTCATTAGGACTTAGATTTATAGGTCTGGTACATAATACAGTGGATAAATAACCATACGGGAGATTCTTAAATTTATTATAAAAACCCATCCCTCCATACGATGTACCCCCTTTTCCAAGACAACAATATTGTTGGTTTTTCTCTTTTAAAAACCAAAAACTCATAAGGCGTGATTGCAATTGCAATTAGTTTTTGTGATTGCCATCTCTCGGTGTGGGTTTGTATGTGGGTGTGTGTTTGTGGGATTCCAATTAAGTGCAGGTGTTTGGAAATTAATCTTACATTTGGCCAGATAAGAAAGCATTATGTCCATCTTCAGAGGAAGAAAAAACATTGTAGAAAAATAAGAAAAATAATAATCGATGGGGAATCTGATGAAAACATCCACCAAATAATTACATGTCAACTTAATAAACTGTCATAGAATGGATTTAAGTAAAATAATTGAAATTATGAGAGAAATGAAAATGAAATGGTGAGAAAAAATTTAGAGGATTAGTAGAGTTTATAGAGTTATTATGTTGGTAGTATATCGAAAAGAGGTCTTCAATTGATGGATGACATTTTTGATGATTTTTTTTTGATTTATTAATAGTTATAGAATAAGTAGTTTAGGATGATTTGGTTAAGTAATACAATACTGAAGCAAATATCACATTTTCTTTTCCTGTAGAGGGCATTTATAAAAATCCTAACAAAATTCCAAAAAATATCCAAATCTTGATATAAACTAAGAATAGTTTGAAAAATTTCTTAAATTTACGACAGAAGGTTAAAAAAATTGAAAAATCCAATCAGAAATTCGGTGCAAAATTAAGAAAAAATTTAAAAATCTGATGTTATGTTTTTTAAAAATCGAGAACTATTCAATCCAATTCATATAAGATAGTCTTGAAAAAAAAAAAAAACAATTAAAAAAGCTGTAAGATTGGCTGGGCCGAACTTTGAATACCTTCCACCATTTTTGGCAATTTTCAAAAAAAAAAAAAAAAAATAAATAAATAAATAAATTAAATCCGGTAAAAATTCTGTTAAATTCTTAAAAGTACCGAATTGCCTGCATAGGCAACTTTTGTCATGAGCCATTACAATATTCAATTGCGAAACTTGAAAAAAAAAATCGGTGAATAATGTAGCTAAAATCATCAAAATTCCAAATATGGGGAGGTGCCGTTGAATGGGGTGTATAGGAAGACTTGGACCTGGACAGACAATTTTCTGTTGTAGGCTGTAGTATCTATTAAGAACTACAAATACCAAATTTGAAACATTTCCAGTGGTAAATGTCGATAAAATCATCAAAATACCGAATATCTGGAGGTGCCGTTTTATGGGGGCTATACGAAGGCGTGGACCTGCAATTTTTTGTGATAGACTGTAGTATCCATTAAGAACTACATATACCAAATTTGAAACGATTCCGGTAAAAAATGTCGCTAACATCATCAAAATACCTAATATCGGGGGTTATACGACAACGTGGACATATATAGACAATTCTCTTTCAGGAGGTGAAGTACTCGGAAGGAACAAGTTGTGTTAATTTTTAGACAATTCCATTGACAAATGTGGCTAAAATCATGAAAATACCGAATATTGGGGATACCCTTATATGGGGGTTACACGATATCGTGAACCTATATAGACAATTTTCTCCAGGGGGTAAAGTACTCGGAAGAAATTGCTGGTGTGGATTTTCAGACAATTCCATTGAAAAATGTGGCTAAAATCATCAAAATACCGAATATCGGGAAGTATCGTTATATGGGGGCAATATTCAGGGGGTAAAGTACTCAGAAGGAACTTCTTGAGTGGATTTTCAGACAATTCCATTGAAAAATTTGAAAATACCGCATATTAAGGTAACGTTATATGGGGGCTATACGATATCATGGACCGATTTAGCCCATCTTCGAACTTGTAAGTAGCCGGCCTTCGGTGGTGACCACTTGTGGATAGGTATTTTCAAACCTATATTGCCTATATTGGGTAAGTGGATACGGGTTTTGAACCCGGCCTTTCGAGCCCCGGGACCGGGTAAGTCCCCCATAAAAAATAGTTTCCCGGAATTAGGGTAAAAATAACTACCTTTGGAAAAAATCGAAAGAATCGAAAAGTTTTTACTAAATTAGCGTTGTTCCAATTGCCCACAGCATTGTGGCTTTTAGCGCTAGGATCTTCTTAGACCAGTGTCGGAAATAACTTCAATATCTCCAAATTGTTTTGCTGCTGGTATTTTCATGGTCAAATATCAAATACAAAATGGTTAAGATATTACCATCAAATAAAAAATACAATATCAATTTTTTACGGCCACAGATGTTCTCTAAAGCCGACTTCCCGTCGACTGTTTTATCGACAATGATAATTGGAATAATTCATCGCTATCGACAAAAAACGACAACCCTAATATTGTCGCTTCGACTTCATTATGCGACGACGACAACGGTAATAGGGCAGAATTAAAAAAAATTGGAATTAGATTTTGAAAATTCCACGTTTATATCTTTGGTAGACGTTTGTAGCTATGCTAGGATCTCGAAAATATTCTTAGAAAAATCCATGGTTCTTTAGAAAAATATTCTCAAAAGATTGATGACTTTAGAAGTAAAGGTGTTTCGAAATAAATTTCTATATAAACAATTTTTAAAACTCCTTTAAATATATCCTTAAAAATATTCGACTATAGATCTGTCATTTTGTTCCAAAACAATCCGTTAGAAATCCAATTTATGGATCTATAAATTAATCTTTGTTCCTTCAGATCTTAAATTTCTTTCCCAAAAACCAATTTGCTCAACTTCGTCTCGACATTCAAATAAACAATCAATTGACGGAAGTAATAAAGAGTTATTTAAGCCGATATCAAAGTGGAAAAATCTTTGCGAAAAAGGGAAACCAAGAAACAACAAAAAAAGCAATACCAAGTAACACAAGTCAATGATGTTGAACAAATTTTTACAAGCTATGAAAAGGGTACAATGTTTCATTTGTCGTTCGGTCGTCGATGTATATGTGTATGTTTGTCCTGTCGTTGTTGTTGCTCCCATTCCCAACCACTCCACCATGATTTCCTTTTGTTTTGCCAAAGAAAAGCAGGTACTTATGTTTCTCATAAGTAGTGTAGTTGTTGTTGTTATCTAGCTTTTGGCTCTTTACATCTCTGCCTCTGCCACTACCGCTTTCCCTTGGCAAAGCTTGTAAATGCTTGCTTTTGGGTTACCATGTTGTTGTTCATACCTTTTGGCTAAAAACAACATCATAAATATTCCATAGCAAACCAAACACACGAGAAGGAGGTAAGTGAGTGTGTGGTGAATATGGGAGAGAGAGAGAGTGAGAGAGAGAGTCGATGTGTGTGTGACAACCATATGGATAACCAGATATCAAAATAACAGAGATAAATTTGGGCGCTACACAGTGGTGTGAGGAAATGGATTTAATTTTTGATAGGGTCCTCAAGGATGAGATGACTTTTTTAAAATTACATTGCGAGTGAAATCGGGAGTCTA